TGCTGCTGCTGCTGCTGCTGCTGCTGCTGCGCTTGCCCCGGCCTCTGCTGCTCGGGTCGCACCTCCACTTGCTGCTCCTGAGCCTGCTGCGCGTTCGGCTGCTGCTGCTGCTGCTGCTGCTGGTCTGGGGCCCTGCCCTGCTGCTGGTCGCTCTGCTGCGCCTGCTCATAATGCTGCTGCTGTCGCCCCTGCTGCTGCTGCTGCTGCTGTGCTTGAAGACTGGCAGCAGCATTCTCACGCCCGGGCCGCTCCATCTGCTGCTGCTGGTGATTTGCAGCGGCGCATCTGGCGCGAGTAAACCCTAAACCCTAAACCCTAAACCCTGATCGTCCAGAGTCTTGCTGCGGCCGTCTGTTTGCATTTGCAGCTGCAAAGGACTTTGCAAAAAGGAAGCAGCAGCTAAGAAGTGGGCCAAAGCCTCTGCTGCACGCCTGCAGCAGCAGCAGCAGCGGCAGCAGCAGCAGCCCGTTGGGCTCCGCGAGGCCCGCGGGCAGCAACAGCAGAATCTGAAGAGTGGAAAGAAGTGAGAAGAGGTGCTGCGGCGGTGGGGAAGGGTTTGGGTTCAGGTGTACGTACAGCTGGGGAGTTCAGGTGTACGTACAGCTGGGGAGAAGGGGAGCGGTAGAAGTGGATAATTCTTTGAATTCTTTGAATTCATAAAAGAGGAAACAAATCCGTAAAAAGACCATTGTAATTAGCTGCTGCAGGTTGCTGCGAGTGCAGCGGCGGTTTCGCTTTCTGAGGTGTATGTACACCTCAGGGGTCGCAGGCGAGGAAGCGAAGCAACTGGCCAGGCACTTTCATTTCCTAGTTCTTTTTGGATTCTCTCTTGTTGCATTTAGTTTTATTTTCTTCTTTATTTTCTTTTTTATCCCGCAGCCGCGCGTCTGCTGCTGAAACTCTCCGCATGCTCGCCATCTACGGCTGTTCGGCTGCTGCTGCCTCGCCTGCTCTGTCGTTTGCGTCTCGCGGAGGCGGCCAAACTGCGCGGAATTGAGTTCTTTTTCCGCAATTTAGTTTTTATTTCCTTTTATTCTTATTTTGTTTTCCATTTTCGCTTTTTTCGCGCTCTTCCGGATCCCCGGGCTGCAGATCCTGCCCGCCGACGAGCGACGAGCGGCGCCGTCTCAAGTGTCTGTACACCCCAGCGCCCACCTGGCCTTCTCCCTCCCCAAAATGGGAAACGCCGCGGCCTCTTCCGTGGCCGCCTCCACCGCGAGCAGCAGCGGCAGCTGCAGCAGCTGCAGCTGCAGCAGCAACAGCAAGTCCAGCTGCAGCAGCTGCAGCAGCTGCAGCAGCAGCAGCAAGCCAAGGCTGGCCCCCCCACTCAACTGGCAGGTCTTGTGGGAAGACCCTCTTTGCTGCTGCTGCGAGCTGAAGCCCTCGCCGCCTTTTGCTGCTCTTTATCCTTTAGATGGCTGCCCCGAACATGGCCAGTTCATTAACTCTTTGGGCCTCGCGCTGCACTACTACATCTGGTACCCCCCCTGCAGCAGCAGCAGCAGCAGCAGCAGCAGCAAGTGTTACTGCGTGAGGCGGAAGCGCAGCAGCTGGGCCGAAAGGGCCTGTTCCGTCTCGGGCCCTTCTCCCAGCTTGCCCTACTGCAAATTCGCAGCCCAGCTGCAGCAGGAGCAGCAGCAGCAAACGCAAGGAGACCAGCAGCAGCAGCAGCAGCAGCAGCAAGGGGACCAAGAGCAGCAGCAGCAGCAGGAGCAGCGCCACCCCGACGAAGAGGCCCACGGGCAGCAGCAGCAAGCGGACGAAGAGCAGCAACAGCAGCAGCAGCAGCAGCAGCAGGAGGAAGGGGAGGAGGAGGTGGAGTGGCTGTGTGTGGGGTGCCGGCAGCAGCGGCTGCAGCAAAGTCGAGGAGTTGTGCTGCTGCTGCACGGCTACCAGTCCCACGCCCGTTTCTCGTGGCTGCGGCGGTGGGCCCCGAGGCCCTCTTGCTGCAGAGACCCTCGGGTTTGTGGCTACGTGCCCCACTCGCTGCTCGCGCAGCAGCAGCAGCAGCAGCAGCAGCAGCAGCGCAGCAGCAGCAGCGGGGGCGGGGGCGGCGCGGCGGCTGCGCCGCCGCGCCGCTGCGCAGCAGCAGCAGCAGCGGCGGCCGCGGAGCGCGGAGAGGGAGCGGGCGTCGCGCCCCGCAGCAGCAGCAGCAGCAGCGCAGCAGCAGCAGCAGCAGCAGCAGCAGCAGCAGCAGCAGCGTGCGGCGGCTGCAGAGGCAGCCCGCAGTACGGCGGCAGCTTCGTGGAAGTTCTGAACAAAATGGGATTTGTTGTTTTCGGATTGGACTTGGAAGGCCACGGACTTTCGGAAAGTTGGAAAGAAAGAAAAGGCTGCTGCTGCTGCTTGCGGGACTTGGCGCTGGACGCAATGCAAGCAGCAGCAGCGCTCAGGAGGCGCCTTGCTGCGCTCGCTGCAGCAGACGCAGCAGCAGCAGCAGCAGCGGCGGCGGCGGCCGGCGCAGCAGCGGCGCAGCAAGACCTGGCCGCCGCCCAGAAAGACCCCGCCGCTGCCGCTCCTGCTGCTGCACCTGCTGCTGCTGCTGCTGCTGCAGATGCAGCAGCGGAGACAGAGGAGACCCAGGAGGCAAGAGGAGCAAATGAAGCAGATGAAACAAATGAAACAAAAGAGTTAAAAGCAGCAAAAGAATCAAAAGCAGCAGCAGCAGCAGCAAAAGATATTGTGGGGTCTCCTTTGCCGCTGCCTGTCTTTCTTGTGGGGTCTTCTTTGGGGGGCTGGACTGCAGCAAGATTTATGCAGCTTGCTGCTGACGAAGCAGCAATTAAGGAGGCGCTGCCGCACTTTGCTGCTGCAGTCACCGCAAGGGCTGCAGCAGCAGCAGCAGCAGGTGCTGCAGCAGCAGAAAAAGGAGCTGCAGCAGCAGAAAAAGGAGCTGCAGCAGCAGAGCAAGGAGCTGCAGCAGCAGAGCAAGGCGCAGCAGGAGCAGCAGCAGCAGCAGGAGCAGCAGGAAGTTTGGGAGAGTTGATGCGGGAGTGGTTTTGTGTCTCCGGATTAATTCTTTTGTCTCCAATGCTGGACGTGGAGTTGTCGAAGAAGAGCGCGAGGTGGACGTACACCCGGTGGCTGCTGCAGCAGCTGTCGCGGTTCGCGCCGCAGCTGCCGGTGCGGAGCAGCAGCAGCAGCAGCAGCAGCAAGTTCGAGGCGGAGCAGCAGCAGCGCGCCGCAGACCCGCTGTACGTACACCGCAGCACCACCGCCCGCGCTGCGCTGCAGCTGCTCTCCCAGGCCGAGGTGTCTGTACACCCCGCGGAGACAGCCAAAATCTCCCCGCAAACTTGTGGGGCCCTTCTGCTAGTCCATAATGCTTTGGACCAGCAGTGTGGCATTAATGGCACTTTTGCTTTTTTCAAGCTGCTGCAGCAAGTCCCCGACAAAACCTTCCTCGCCGTCAACGCCCTGCCCCCCGCAGCAGCAGCAGCAGCAGCAGCAGCAGCA